CCTTTAAGTATAACTACTGGTGTGTTTAATGTTGCACAAGCGTGAATATTGCCAACCTCTACTTGGTAGAATTCCAATCCTTCAACTTTAACTTACTGTTGACTTGGTAATTTGGTTATAGTTAGTAAGCTAATTGTTAATCAGAGTTCCAGATTAATGGTAATAATTTGAGACTAAAACCATATTGGCTATTTTGCCTATTAGTTTAGGCTGGTGCCCCGTGAACTTTAATTAATTTTAAAGTTATTATTTAATATTAATATTTTTAATATTAATATTTTCTTAATTTATGATAGCCAATAAATTGATAAACAACCAAAATTCAACACATAATTGGTGTCCAGCTCATGAGGTAGAGCTCAGACCCAACACCGTCCTGCATCAAAATTAATCTCTAATAATCACAAACATTGAATCAAAGGTAGTGCTCATGTTTACATGTGAAAGCATTTTCTTCCTTGTTTCCTTCCTTCCACTAGAACCGCCAAGATGGTCTGATAGACCGTTTGAGCTTTTATTATCTAAATAACTTTGTTTAAATAAAAAGTACAGTTCTCTCAGTCCATGTCTTTTCCTAAATATATGTTTTTGATGTTTTCTGAAGCCTAGAAGGTATGAAAAAAAACCCACAAGATTTCTGAGCATTTATTCCTCTGACCACCAAAGCGATCATATATATGGGGTGCCTAATGTAAAAGTGGCTTCAATTTTTTGTTGATATATTTTGAAAATTTAGCTCACTTTTCTCACATTTAGCTAATTTTCCTCTCATTCCTCATCAGACAGAAATTCATGTAAAACATCATGTTATATTTAATTGTTAAGAACGTGTATATGTGAAAAAAATGTATCTTAAATCTAAATCTAAATATTAAATCTAAATTTTAAATGTTAAATCTAACTGTTAAATGTAACTCTAAATGTTGAATTTAAATCTAACTGTTAAATGTAAATCAAAATGTTAAATTTAAACCTGAATGTTAAACGTAAATCTAAATGTTAAATGTAAATCTAAATGTTAAATTTAGATTATCTTGATCCTGATATTTTTCTCCATGCTCTAAAACCAATTGCACTTTTAGATCACCCCTGTCAGTATTGTTTGTACCGTGCTTTTGATGCATCTGTTGAACTGAATGTTTTCTGATTAAGTAGATAGATAGATACTGTATTTATCCCCTAGGGGAAATTCATGTGTTCATTAGCTCATTGTTGATAATAACAATGACAATGACAATGACAATAATAATAATAATAATAATAATAATAATAATAATAATAATAATAAATAAATACACAATAATAATTAAATTAGTCCACTTCCTTTGGCTGAGGTGTTGTATAGCCTGATGGCAATGGGAACAAAGGATCTCCTGAACCTCTCTGTTCTGCAGTGCAGTGAGATGAGACGTTTGCTTCTGTAGCTGCTTCTCTGTCCTGCCAGAATGTTGTGGAGAGGATAGTTGGTATTGTGTAAGATAACCTGTAGTTTACTGTCCAGGTGCACATGTAGGTATTTATAAGTGTGCACCGTTTCAGTGTCCTTCCCCTCGAATGTTGAATGGCTGAAGGGTGGGCCCAGACCTCCGAAAGTCGATGACCATCAGTGTCGTAAACAAAAGTATATTTGAGTCCCTGTTGTCTTCTGTCTTTATTTCTTTTTTAGCAGTGTGTGTGGCTTGTTTTAGTTATAGAACATGTTTTTTGTATGGAAACATGGAGCCCTCCAAAACAAAATGTTGTTTGTTTTGTAACAGTCTTTGGAAGACTACTGAAATGATAACCCTTAAGGCCTTAACCTGTTAAGCCCTAGGTATGCTAGGGGGTATGCCTCGCCTAGACAGACATACCCAAAATAGATCAAGAGTAGCTCCACAACTATCAGGTCCATTTGCAAGAGCTTGGTCATTATGGATAGGTAAGATCTAAGAGAATGTATTCCATGTGTGAGTAACATTGTGTCTGTTACTATAGTTGAGTAAATTGTGATAAACCAAAGGAAAAATTAAATTTTTTGTCCTCACCTAGAATTTATTTTAAATTAGACAGTGGATAACACCATGATAACAATGGTCCAGTGCACTTGGAGGCCACTGATTTCATTCAGAAACTTCATGACTACAACTGTAACAATGTAGGTTTTGTAGGTATGGGGCCAGGCAGACTTTCCATTTGGAAACTTGGATAGCCAAGGTACCCAAATTGTGCCAAAGGGTTTTTTTTACCTCTTGAAAGGAAATTTGGCTACAGAATACTAATGATTTCCACCACAGGAGGCTATGTGCACACAATACAACCCTTAGCCGCTTCATTTACCCTGTGTTCTCATTTACCCTGTGCATCATCAGATTCTGCCATCGTGTAAAAAACAACTAAATTGTATAATTTTGTCTCAATTTTGACTCTGAATCTCTTCCAGGGCATTGAAATTGCTATATTATGTTGATTCCACTTCGTAGACATTGTAAAAGTGAAAAATAACATAAAACATACAATATACAAAGTTTAAAATACAATAAAAGTTGAATTGGCTGTGCATCATGCATAAAATCCCAATCTGTGGTTAAATTCTCTTGTATTTACGCACGGGTGTAATATGTAGTAGGAAAGTCTCATTGGAGTGTGACATACCGTTGGAAATGTCGCGAGATGTAGAAAACAATAGCGCTTTGTTTTTAAACGGCAGTACCACCAAATGTGTGCTAGATGGCAACAGAAGACTGTGTATGAAGCATAGGCTTGGGGCTCAGACTCTGCTATCCAGACCCCCATCACAGCCGACTTGACTGGAAAATCATATGGGTAGACCCAAAATGACCACAAAGGGGTAAGGAGACAATATTCGTTGCTTTTGATTAGAACCGCTTTGGAATTTAATGGAAACTCAAAATTTGAAATGTCAACTGTAAAATGAGAAGTTTGGCCCCGTGTTTGCTTTGGGGCTGTATTGAGCTGGTTAGCTCAGGCTATGCTATGCTTGCTATCAATAGAAAAGAGTAGCTTCTTTAGTTTCATACGACAGCCAGCATGGTGGGAAGGAGCGAGCAGATTACATGTTACCGTCACGAATGTCCATTTACATTGATATGGGTCTTATTTTGAAATAGAAATATTGAAATTATTGCCAAACAAATATTCTTTGGACTAAATACACTTGGACAACTACCGTTGTTTTGGTAGCGTTAAAGCCTCGTCTTTTAGAAGCATAAAAAAAGAGACCACCACAACATTCTATCAGCTTTTTCCAGGCAATTTTGTATCACACTGTTCTGCCCGACCCAGTACTGGGTCTGTGGGGGGAAATACACATTGTTAACGATTAAATATAGAATGATGTTTTACATGAATTTCTGTCTCAAATGATAGCTAAATGTGATGTAAGTGAGCTAAATATTCAAAATATATCAGCTAAAAATTTGTAACCAAATTTTTACATTAGGCAGCCCATACATATAGACTGCTGTGGCCAGCTGAGGCCATAGGAATTATAACAATGTTTCCATTTCGCGGGTTTTCGCGCATCTATTTTTTTTTCACTGTTTATTGTTTTCATTTAACATTAGACCTACATTTTTATCAATCAGTCAGTACCAATCAGTGACCTGTGCAACTGTGACTCAGCAGAAATACAGGACTGAACCAATCAGAGACTCCTGTGTAACTGTGACTTGGCAGGATTACAGAATTGAACCAATCAGAGACTCCTGTGTAACTGTGACCCTGCAGTATTATAGGAATGAACCAATCGAAGACCCCTGTTTAACTAGGGTCCCTCAGGAGGAGCATGGGGTCAGAGGGTTCAAAGAAGCTGTCAGAGAAGATAATTGCATGTGCTCTGTGCGCTCCAAAGAATAATATTGTGTATTAAATTATGTATCAAATGTATTGTCCTCTGTCTTTGATTTGGATCCTTCCTATGAACCCAGAAGTCAATCATGTGGTGAAGACCTGAAGACGACAGAAGAAACTCCTCAGCTAATCAACACATGTTGTTACTGAAGTAACATCAGCAGTAAACAGTGTGTAGTCATTTCACAGTTCTGTATAGTGGCTCCTTTACGCTGCATCACAATAGGAAGCTACAGTAGAGCTGCACATTCTTCTGATCAGTGAAACTAACATGATCAGTTGTCTGTCAATGCACAAACTGATCTGGACTTGTGTTATCACCTACCACCTTTTACATTTAGCTGCAGGGAAACAAACCACTGAGAGCTTTGTATACATGGGTCACTGTGGTCGTAGATCACCAACCAGCTAAAAGTAAACTGAGAGCTGAGAGCTGTCAGTGAGCTGATGTTTTGATGTTTGTCACTGCTGTTGTAAAGTGCCTCCATCTTATACGCTCACAGTCGTGTTTAATAATGATGGATAGTCTCACCTTGTCTCAGGTAACAGCAACAGATCTGCCTTCAATCTGGTGAGTGGATGTGTGTCGATCCAAACTTTGCAGTGATCAAACATCATTGACAGCAGAAGTCACAGGCAGCAGACTAGATTAGAATGAACCTGTTGCAGATATCATTCAGACCTGCACATTGCTGTAAGAGGAGTAACAGCATTTACAAGTGTCAAGTGCTCCTGGAAAAAGTTTTTTATCAAATCTGTCTTTGCTTCACAACATCGTGTTTTACCACTTTCATTTTTAATTGTCAGTCAGGACACACATAGCCATGTGATTTGCTGTCCATCATTCAGACCAAAGACACAACCTTTAACTGACAGCTGAAGACATAAGAAGATAATAAGTTTAATTATTAAATAACATTTTTTTCTGTATTCATTCATGAAGTCATAATGTATTTATAAGAAATGTGGGTCAACAAAGAAGAACAGCACACAATCACCACCCGGGTTGGTGTGTGTGTGTGTGTTTGTGTGTGTGTGTGTACCAGCTGTCTCATGGACAGCTGGTGACTGTTCTCTGACTTCCAGCGTCTCACCACGTGTCTGTCAGCCTCTTGAAATGGGATGGACTGTGGTTAATTTGTGCCTTCACAGCAAGGCTCGCCGCTCGGTGAGCCCTGATATAAGTTCATCACACAATCCTTGGAAATACTGAGAGAATTTTAACAGGCAACTAATTTAATGTTTGACCTAACAAGACAGTCTCTCTGGACTAGAAACCACCACAGGAGTCAAGATTCAGGCTTTTGGGTGGAGAAGAGGACAAGACCAGGTAGGTTAACCTCAAACCCATCTACAGGTGAAGCATGAATCCTATACTGGAAATGAAAAGACTTATTACATTACTTATTACAGACTTTTTACATCATTAGCTGCTTTGTGAACTGGTACTGAATAGTTTGTGTTTAACTATGAAGCCTAACAGCAACAGCTGAAAATACTCTACCAACACCAAACCAGGTCTAGACCTAGTACATGGCTGGACCATGTTGTAGGCTATTATCATCCAGTCTAGTATCAGCTGGTTTCAGCTCTTTATCTGTTTGCTTCTCTTCTCATTTCTGGCTCACATATACAGTATTTTAATACAGCTGAATTCACAATAAAGCTGTACTCATTGACATGACTGACATAATTGACAACGGAACAAGTTTGAAACAGTGACTGAAATGTGGCCCATTAAGACTACATGTTAACCGGCAGTCACTTCTAAGCTGCTGCTGCTAAAATCCTGATTTTATAACCATGACTTTGTTGGACAACATCACCAAAAGCAGTTAAAGACAGAGACTGAGATGTGATTTCAGCTGTATTTACTGTAACATAATCAGTCACACAGAAAGTTAAGCTGCTTTGATCATTGGAATCGTCATAAAGTGCTTTTTTGAACAACAGTCACTAACGAGTCAGCCGGTCAGTCACTCAGTCAGTGACTCAGTCAATCATTTGGTTGGTCATCGGTTGGTCGGTCAGTCAGTTTATAGTGCTGGCCCTGCTGTACCAGACACAGACTTTGGTAGAATATGGACATCTCATGGAAAATTCTGACCTGGTCGTGTTGCTACTTAAACTGAAGAGATGGATGTTAATACTAATATTAATTAATACTAATATTAATATTAATTCACACACTGTATTACATACATAAACTAATTCATATACTGTATTATATACATATACTAATAATTCATATACTGTATTATATACATATACTAATTTATATACTGTATCACATTCATATACTAATACTAATTCACATATTGTATCGCATAGGCTACATATTACATACATATACTAATACTAATTTATATACTGTATTACATACATATACTAATTCATATACTGTATTAAATACATATACTAAGACTAAAACCCATGAGATGGATCTATGTGTGCCTTGTATTGATGTTCAGTGACAGAACAGCAGCTCACCCTCACAGGGGAGTATGACTGGTGTCTGTGTTTGACAAATGACTTTATCAATAAATGACCAAATATCTGATCATTCGTTTTCTGTCAGTTTTGGAAAATCTACAATGTCATGACAGTAGTTTTTACTGATCAAGACAAATGAAACATAAAAACCTAAAATCATATGAAGTGCTATCTGATGCTGTCATACTATAAAATATATATGATCCTTGTTATGCTTGAACCCTCAGAAAATTATTCAGTGACCTCTCTCTGTTTTGTGATGTTGCACATCTACACTGTCTGGACATTAGTGCACTGTCTCAACAAGCACAGTCATGTCCATCCGTCACCTGTGCAGGTCTCAGGACCACAATGAACATTCAGTCTGCCATCAACAAAGATGTCTTCATCCCTCGTGATGAGAGGCTGCTGGTGGCAGTGGAAGTGCGGAGGAGAAAGAGGAAGAGGATGTCCTTTCTGCCGACTGGAGCCAAAGGAGACTATGCCACATTCATCTGTGTGTCAGGTAAAATCTGACCCTGTAGACTCTATTTATCTGGGGACCATTGTATAAGCACTCATAGTCTGTAATGTACAGACAGGAAACAAGGGGAGAGAGAGGGGTATGACATGCAACAACTGCCAGGGTTTCTCACCCGCACTGTGCCCTGGCAGTACATTACCCCCACCCTCATCCAACTTCACCGGCTTCCGGTCAAAGCTGACATACAGTACAAAATCCTCTCCCTCACCTACAAATCCCTCCATGGTCTCGCCCCTGAGTACCTGTCTGACCTCCTCCACCCCTATATCCCATCCCGGAACCTCCAGTCCTCATAGACTGGTCTGCTCTCCACCGCCTACACCAGCCTGCAATCTTTCGGTGACAGAGCTTTGAGTGTGGCAGCCCCCAACCTCTGGAACTCTCTCCCGGCAGAGATCCGGACAGCCTCATCTCTGGACATTTACAAAAAACTGCCGAAAACCCACCTGTTCACCAAGGCCTATGGCCTCTAGCTAACTCATCTCCTACAATCTCCTCTAATCATTGCCTCCTTAGTCTGTCTTTCCATGGTTTAATTTATATATTTTATTTATTAGGGTTCTAACCCTGAAGGGTAGGTCTACCAAAGAATTAAGTTGCTAAAATACGGCTGCTTCTCTCAGTTGAGCGAAGAATGGTTAGAACCCGCGAATTGCCGCTTGTGGCTATAATTAGGGTTCTAACCCTGAAGGGATAGCCGAATATTAATGAAAATCTGAAGTGTTATTGATCATATTGATTGATGAAAGTGGGCAGGGCCTATTCATCAATATGTGCCATGTTAAACCTTTAACCACTCAATTTGCAGAGAGTTGGAATGAGCCAGACACACGAAAATTTGTATCATAACTCCAAATCATGTGTCAGTGCTTCACAAAAAATATTATCCCATTTGGTCATATGGTGGCGTTATAATTAAGACTAAAAATTTTATAAAATTTGAAAGGCTGCCCTCACCACACCGAGAGTGCCATCGTCTTCAAATGTACCTCTCAGCTACAGGTAAATATTCTCTACAAAAAACCTCTGGGATAATAGCGACTACCATTATGGATTTTGAGCTAATTAAATAGTCAAATTAAATGAACTTTTCAAATTTTTACTTTATCAATACCAAATTTGGTATATAGCCTTGGGCAACTGAGAGGCACATTTCTATTACAAATGAGCAAGATCGGTCAAAAAACATGGCCGCCATCTATCTTTGCGAAGGGCGGGTCTTAGCTAATATTGGCCATAACTAATTTACCATTTGTTCGATCATCATAAAACTTGGTAGATTTCTTCAGGTTATTATAGCGAATAAATCAACCAAAGCATTAAGTAGATAAACTTCCGTTGCTTCTCTCAGTGGAGAGCAAAATGGTTAGAACCTGCGAATTGCCTCACTTGTTTCACACCACCACATTAACCAGCCAGTCTGTGGCCTCTAACCAGAAGTCACATTCACAGTCCAACCTTTTAGTGTTGTTTTTGAGTGTCACTCATGCCAACTAAGCCTGTTTCTGTGAAGGTTAAACCCAGTTACTGAGGCTCAGAACAGATGCATTGTTGAGCAATGCATCACAGCAGCCATTGTTTAGAATACAGGGTGGCAGGGATGCAGGAGCAGAGCTGTCAATGGACATGGAGGATAAAGAGCTGCAGAAAATCTACACACCGAATCCCAGTGACATAGTACAGCTGTTTACAAATATTACAAATATTAAAGATGTGTTAATTAATGTGTAGTATTTTCATATTGAATATTAGGTTCTCATACTCATGTCATCTGTTCGATGCCAGCTGCCTTGTTCATGCTGACCATCATTGGCTTCATGAACCGTCTTACTACTGCAGTTGGAAGTATTGAATTATTTTGTGAATTTTTTTTTATAAATTGTTTCCTTCATGTCAGTTCAAAGAGTCACTACATTTTTTTTAAGGCAACAATCGCATCACTGGTCAAATGCACTTCAGTGTGTGCATCAGTAAGTGAACACATCACTGTCTTGAAGTCTTCAGCTCAGTGGTACTTTCAGTGTGTTTATGTTTCAAGCTGTTACCTTCAGTTCAGTATAAAATGAAACCATACATATGGTGTGCCAATTGTAAAGTGGTCCATACTGAAATTAACAGCAACATTTCACCACATTAAGCTCCAAAGTTAAACAAAAAAGTTATGAGAAGGGTTAGATTAGATTTAACATTTAACATTTAGATTGATATGTATCATTTAGATTTAATATTTTGAACTCTCATATTGATTTAATATTAAACTTTTCCATTTAACATTCAACATTTTTATTTAATCCATACACATACATAAAGCATTGTTTGTTAGCAGCTCAGCAGCCACTTACAGTTTTTTACAATTGCTTAGGCATGATTTTGAAAACAGGGCTCATTTTTTCAAAACACTTAACACAATTCACAAAACCAAACACCCAAAGTGCAAAACACCTCGTATATCCTGTAAAATGAAACACTGCATTCAAAACTACATAAACTGGGGGCACCTTGTGGCTCTGGTACCATTGGGACTCTGTCCTTGCCGCAGCGGCCTCGGTTCTATTCCGACCCACGGCCCTTTGCTGTAAAAAAAAAAAAAAACTTGATCAAAATCAAACTTTTGCACCAAATGGCAAACACTACATTCATATTACCACATTCTTGTTCAACCAACTACACACCGTTGTGCTCAATCCAAAACACATATTGTCATCATAGTTCTGAATGAAGAGAATTCTGCTGAGAGAAATTGTTCAAGTTTAAATATGAGCATTATCACAAATACTGTTGAAACAAAACAACAAATCAAATCAAATCAAATCAAATCAAATCAAATCAATCAATCAATCAATCAATCAATCAATCAATCAATCAATCAATCAATCAATCAATCAATCAATCAATCAATCAATCAATCAATAAATCAAGTACATCCTACATTATGGTTGTAGCACAGTACATCCTACATTATGAGTTCCCAGCAAAACCCTGGACAGACTCCAGTTGTCCAGAACTCAGTTGCCAGGTTTCTTACCCACACCAAGCCCTGGCAGCACATCACCCCCACCCTCATCCAACTTCATTGGCTTCCAGTCAAATCCCTTATTCAGTACAAAATCCTCTCCCTCACCTACAAATCTCTCCATGGTCTTGCCACCATTACCTGTCTGACCTCCTCCACCCCTATATCCCGTCCTGGAACCCACGGTCCTCATAGACTGATCTACTCTCCACCCCCTACACCAGCATGCGATCTTTCGGTGACAGAGCTTTGAGTGTGGCAGCCCCCACCCTCTGGAACTCTCTCCCGGAAGAGATTCACACAGCCCCATCTCTGGGCATTTTCAAAAACCTGCTGAAAACCCACCTGTTCACCAAGGCCTATCACCTCTAGCTCAGTAATTTCCCACAATCACCTCCATCATGGCCATCCTTATTCTGTCTCATCTTGTTTTCATTTATATGTTTTATTTATTTGTGTTCTTACTCTGTAAAGCGGCTTTGGGTACCCCGAAAGTTGCCATAAAAATCTAAGTTATTATTATTAATAGCAAAAAAATAAAGCTTTATCAAATACAACATATAGAAAATGAAAATTTGAGGAGAAAATACAACTTGCTTTACTTCCACTAGCACTAAAGACCACACAGCTTAATGTGTAAAAATTGTAGTTCAAATCAGTTTATTTTATTTATATAGCACCAAATCATAGCAGTAGTTATCTCAGGGCACTTTTCATATAGAGCAGGTCTGGACCATACCCGACCCAACAGTCCCCCATGAACAGCACCTGGTAGTGACAAGAAAACATTTATTTGACAGGTGGAAACCTTCTCAGAACCAGACTCACTGTCTAGACTGTGGGGTTGGGAAACAGTTGAGTCCGGTTAATATCAATCACATTCTATTAATATTTGGAGTCAGTTAGAACCTCGGAGAGAAGTTCATAATAAATCATTTTCTCAGCGGTAAGAAGGCCTGGGGTGTCGAGGACCCCAAACAGAAGATTGGGGTTAAACAAGAAGTATCACACTGTGGCTCCACCGCTGCTGATTCAGTGATGATTCAATACAGTGAGTTCAGTGGGAAGATTCTGTGTCTTTCACATACTGAAACCTCTCTGGCTCTTTGTTGAGCCCAGTTGCTGACACCTAGCTTTCCGCACCCAGCCTCATCCTCATATGGTAGTAATCCAAGGCTCTGCTGTTGTTGGCCTGCTGCCTTTCTTTTTTCTTAAGTTATTTTTTGGGCATTTTTACCTTTATTGTGATAGTCACAGTGAGTTAGAGATGGGAAAGTCAGAAAGAGAGAGAGGGGATGAGATGCATCAAAGGGTGGTGGGTTGGACTTGAACCCATGGCTGATGCGGCTAGGACGGCCTATGTGGTACGCGCTCTACCAGGTGAACCGCCGAGGTGCCCCTGCCCGTTACATTTCTAATGCTCATGTACTGTATATGTCGCAGCTCGGATTCTTTGAGAGCTCTCTCAAAGAGAAGAACCTCTATCACCAAATCTAACTGTACAACCATAGAGGGTTGGTTACTGAACTTAGTCTCAGACTTAGTCTCAGACTAAACAAAAGTCACACCACCACACCAAAAGTCTTGTTAAAATTGATCAGTGTGTAGCTTTCATCCTCAGCTATTATGTAAATCAAGTGTTCTATCAAAAAGTCTTTTTGAAGGCTTTCAATAGAGATCTCATTTTTTGTATATGATCTGTTTATATAGTGACCAACACAAGGCCACATCAGCTCCTCATTACAAAGGTGAAGCAGTTTGGGGGCTCCTCATCCTTCACCAGGAGGTCTCAGTGGACAGTTGAGCAGCTCCGACAGGTGAACGGCATCAACCAGAACAAGGTGAGCAGCACTCACACATTCTCTTTTTACCAATAGTAGTCTCTAATCATATTTGTAATAATACATTTATTTATAATACAGACACATATACTCAACAAGCACTTTATTAGGAAAACCTGTACACCTGCTTATTCATGCAGCCAATCATGTGGCAGCAGTGTATATATTGTATATATATATATATATATATATATATATATATATATATACATATATATATATATGACTTCAGTTAGTCAGAGCTTCAGTTAATGTTCACATCAAACATCAGAATGAGGACAAGTGTGATCTCAGTGACTTTGACTGTGACATGATTGCTGGTTTAAGTGTTTCTCAAACTGCAGATCTCCTGGATTTTCACACACAACTGTCTCTAGAGTTTTTACTCAGACTGCAGCAACAACAAAAGCTTCCAGTTAGCAGCAGCTCTGTGTTGATGAGAGAGGTCAGAGGAGAATGGACAGACTGGTTGGAGCTGACAGAAAAGCTATGGTCACTCAGATAAGCACTCTTTACAACTGTGCTGAGCAGAGAAGCTTCAGAGTCCAACCTAGAACAGCAGAAGACCACGTCAGGTTCTGCTTCCTGTCACCAAGAACAGAAACCTCCATATAGGCTATGAAGCAGACATAAGTCAATATACAAGAATAAATGTTATCAGCAAGCATAATCCATCTGTGTCACTATAGGAGTTAACAATGAAGTGAAGCAAGAATGGACTTTCCGTGTAAGGAGCAGGAGAATGTGGACCTATTCCTGAGGGAAAAGAGAGCCTGAGATACACAATGTACAGCCACATTGTGAGACGGTCATCCTAAATTTCTGACACTGTCAGAAATTTGTCTCAGGCTCTCAGTCAACTTGACAATGGCCATCATCAAATCTCTCTCATAGTGCCATGTAGGTCCACCCTATAGGAGCCACAACCAAAGATCTCTCCATGTGTCTCCCATCTGGCACAGCCCAAAATCACACAGTGTGTACCCACCTGGAGGGTGTGGGGAATGTTTTCTTCTTACAGTTTTTTCCGATTGCTTACAAACTAAAAGTGAATGCTTATACCACATAAGAAGACACATGCAACCATTCAGATCACACAGAAATCATAGCTTGATCACCATAAATAGGAGTCAGGGTTGCTCTTTGGTGTGACCAACAATGGAGGACAATTTTGGAGAAAGAATTAGAGGAAGAGGTGGTCGAGTAAGAAGAGGACGAGCAAGAGGAGAAATAGGAAGAGGAGAAGGAGCAAGAGGAGAAAGGGGAGAAGGGGCAAGAGGAGAAAGAGGCAGACCAGAAAGAGGAAGAGGAGCAAGAGGACACAGAGGACAGGCAATGGCAAGAGAACAGGTCAGAGGAAATAGGACAATTCTTACAGATGAAATCAGAGACAGGATAGATAACTGCAATACTGTATAGGCCTACTGTATTTTACTGTACAGTATGTTCATGTCATCTTCAGTTCAGTATTGAGATTGAAGAGATTTTGTTTCCCCATTGCATTTTTGTTCATATTTACAGCATGCTATAAATGAGAAACATACATCATATATCAAAAACTTACAGTAATAGTGTTTTTATACTTGAGAAAGTAGGAATGTGAAAAATGTTTTAGATTTAGCACAGTCATGTGCAGTTGGAGGTGGAAAGATCTATATATTTGGTGTTGGTGTGTAAAGTTTGAAAGATAAAGTATTGTTCTTAGAAGAGTTTATTTAGTTTTTGACATAGTGTTTGCTTTTGCAAGAGATGTAACATGTTTTGTATTTTGTGTATATGGTTTTGGTTTGTGTGTGTGGAACTTTGACAAACAGGGTCCTAGTTTCAGGAACTGTGTTTTTGCAATAGTGAAAAACTGTAAAAAGAAAGTTGTGAGGACAGCAGTATCCTCACACTGAAGACACTGCTTTCTTCAGTTGTCATCAGAGTGGTTTGCTGCTTTGAAAGACTCATTCAGATGGTGCATTTGTGTGTGGTTTTGTCTAAGAAATGCCATTTTGAAAAAGGATTTAGTTTTAGATTGCATTTCAATTTGACATAGAAGTGAGATATTCAGCTCCAAGCGTTTTGTCTTATTTGGCTAGTGTGTGGAGTTATGATACAATGAGCCAAATTGCAAAAAGTGTGGAAGTAATCGCAAAAAACTGTAATACCAATCAATTATGGTCTGAATGTTACAGTCTCTCTGAGTATTTTTGCTGATCATGCCTTCTTGAGCATCCCTTCATGGCCACAGTTCACCATCTTCTAATAGCAACTTTCAGCAGGATAATGCTTCATGCCTCAAACTGGTTCCATCAACCTTACAGTGAGTTCAGTGAACTTCAGAAGCCTTCACTTCAGTGCTGCCAATCTCCTGCCCGCCAGGAGATTGACAGCATGAATGCTCAGCTGACAGATCAGCAGTCATATCAACATGGAGCAGAGTCTCAGAGGAAAGTTTCAACATCTGGAGGATCCATGACACGAAGAACTGAGGAACTACCCAGTGTTAGTGTGCTGTTCCTAATAAAGTATAGACTTTGTTCTCCTGTACCCTGCTCTTCCAGGACAGCCCAGAGTTCGACCTGGTTTTTGATAATGCTGTGGACCAGTGGGTAGCCAGCTCATCAGCAGAGAAGTGTATCTTTGTCCAGATCCTGTTCCACGCCTGCCAGACCTACTGGGACGGTAAAGCTGGGACTCTGGGAAAGGCTGGGAAGCTGGGCAAGCAGAGCCCCCAGGGGAGAGTGAGTCAGGGTGCTCACCGTGAGACTGGAGCCGGTCCCAGTGACTCTTCACCAGGCTCTAAATCCAGAGCTCTGCAGGCCCGACGAAAGAGCTACGTTCCTCCCAAACAGACAGAGTTCATCAACTGCCAGTCCAAACTCACTGGAGGTAGTGATCACTGAAGTTCAGGACTCGTATTTAATTCATATGTGAATGACTCTACTTGTAACAGGCTGTCCTTGTTCTTTCAGATGCCTGCACCATGAATCTGGTCATCTACCGCTGCAAGGCCTTCTTGAATCGTATGAAGAACATGATGGTTGCAAAGCAAAGGCGATCACCAGGTACTGATCATAGTCGTTTAAGAGTCAAGTCAGGGAAGATAACTGGTGATGTCATAGTGATGTCATCAGGGTGATCTCCAGCTGTGCTTGGAGACTATCTGAAAGGCTGTGTGATAAGGTGGAGTTGTGGAGATTGAACAATGTGGGTTATAACAGCCAGGGAGGGTTTAATGAAATGGTTCTGTTGGATGCGTTATGGGAACTGTAGTTTGAATGATGTTGGGTCACCCCGGAAAAATAAACTCTTATCATGTTATTTTCTTTTTATTTATTCAGTTGAGCTATTTTTTATCATTGGTTTGCTACATTGGGCTGTATGAGCTTACTTTTTTTCCCATTTGAGATGGTGACTGTGTCATTTTCCATCCCAGCGCTGGAGAAACTGATGGTCAACTGGGTTTGTCCACATATAAATCAATATATATAGGTCAGTGCTGATACTGTGGCAGGCTGATACTAATAAATCAATGTTTGGGAAAAAGTGTTGAGGCAGGAGAGCAACACTGCACTGAATGGATGTTTATCAGAGAGAGAGGAACTGGGAAAGATGTTGAAGTAGGAGAGCAACACTGGACTAAATGGATGTTTATCAGAGAGAGAGACATACCGCAAAGCTGAATTGTCTCCATGACAACAGAAGATGCTCGGTGGGGCTGAGGTCAAACTTTACTAACACCTTTTTCAGGTTATTGTATCAGTAAACTTCCTGTCCCAGGTTTTCTCCTCACCTTCACTGCAGACTACCATGTCTGGTCAGTTCACATGATCCTGGGCTTGTGTGTCTCTGGGTGATTTTCCCCTCTGTCTTTTTGTCTATTGTCCTCACTGTGCTGCACCTCTCTGCTGCAGCAGAAAGGCCTCTTTGTGGTGTGGCGGTCTGATGAGAGGACACTTTGTTTATTTCGGGGAGGTGGATACAATAGCTGGTCTTTAGGAAGCCGGGGACCCTGAGACTGAGAGGGAGCCCGGTGCACCATTGAACCCGGTGACGGGGGCAGTGTAATGGGTGGGAGACGTGCCAGGCTGTGGCCAAGCACCAAGTTCAACAGCAATTCCTACTTGACCTCAGTCGACCTGTGCCACGTGTTGCCATTAATCTGACAACAGACTACAGTAGCATGCTTCAGCCAAACACACAGGGGAATTGTCTTCAGAGGTGAGGGCCCTTGCTCACATTCACTTCGGCAGGGTGATACTTCCTGCAAAGAACTCATAGTTGTGAATTTGTTAACTGTGTTGGTGACATGTTATAATCTGTAACATTAGAGATAATCTGTTAAAATGTTGTAAAAAATGTTAAAACTTTTCCACACTAAAATGTCTAAATTGACTTGATCTATGTTCTATATGTTGTTGAGTTATTTTCTTACATTATCCAAAATTATTCCATCCAATTCCAATTCTCAAGCCAGAGAAATCTGTGATTTTAATCATGGTAATGTAATTATATCCTCTATGATCATGTGTCAGTGTGTTTGTCTGACAGAAGCTCAACATTTATCTTTTATCTAGTTTTAAGCCACATACACTTTTTACACCTTGGTGGTTTTCAACTCTATATTATATATATATACTAACCAGATGAAGGATTGTAGTCATTGGACGTCTGGATCTGAAGTTATCAGAGAAACAAGCTGAGGAAATGTTAGACAGCTCAGCTCCCAGCTGCTGGAGACACCCTGTCCTGTGTCACTGAAGAGCGTCGGTGAATCACAGATTTTTAAAGTGAAACTGTTTTATTCCGTGTTTTTACTGGTTTAAATCCCCTGGTCTGTTTGTTATGGAGAGGAGGACACCTCTGTGGATAATTCAGCGGCATGCAAAAACCTCCTGAACCACTGACACTGAGGGAATACAAACCAGGAGAAGCTGACGGTAATGGTGGTGAAACTCCCATGATCCCATGCTACTTCAATATGTCACCCAGTGCCATTATTTGTTATTGTTTAGACTGAAAGACCCTTAGATGCAGAAGTTACAGACATCCCTTTTATCTGCCTTTCGTGTGCAAACTGCAGCATAAATTAGCAGGACAAACCTGTCTCTGAAGAACTGTTTCTGGTATGGTCAGGATCAGGAGGATTGCTTTAAAATCCTCATCTTCTCAGGTGTTAGATATGTGCTCCTTTCTGACAGTGTGTCTAGTCTTTGCAGTTGGTTTCAGCTGAAGACTGCACCTGTTGGAAACTCCTCTGAAACATACCTGAAGCTGCAGCTGAGTTGAAACAGAAGTTCAGCTAACAGCTGTGACACCTTGAGATTCTGCAGCATGATGTCAGTTACTGTCAGGCTGTGCTCACACACCAACCCTGCTGGTCTGTGAGGGTTCACACTTTGAAGTTGTCTTCTCAGTCCATCTGTCCATCTCCCTGTCAACACTGACTGTCCTGACATGTAGTCTGCACATTAGTGGTCCCCATGACTGGAGCGACACTGTGACACAGTGAATATTCATGATCCCCAGAGCTCATGTATGCTCCTCTGATATATACATGTATATACAGTGGAGGAAATAATTATTTGATCCACTGCTGATTTTGTAAGTTTACACCCTTACAAAGACATGAACAGTCCATAATTTTTATAGTAGGTTTATTTTAACAGAGAGAGACAGAATATCAACAAAACATCCAGAAAAAAACATTACATAAAGGTTATAAATTAATTTGTATTTGATTGAGTGAAATAAGTATTTGATCCTCAAGCAAACGTGACTTAGTACTTGGTGGAGAAACCCTTGTTGGCAAGCACAGAGGTCAGACGTTTCTTGTAGTTGGTCACCAGGTTTGCGCACATCTCAGGAGGGATTTTGGTCCACTCCTCTCTCCAAATCCTGAAGGTTTCGAGGCTGTCGCTTAGCAACTCGAAGTTTCAGCTCCCTCCACAGATTTTCTATGGTATTAAGGTCAGCCTCAGAAACAGCCTCAAAGCAGAATGTTTCCACCTCCATGTTTTACAGTGGGGATGGTGTTCTTGGGGTAATATTCAGCATTTTTCTGCCTCCAAACATGGCGAGTCGAGTTGATGCCAAAGAGCTCAATATAGTCTCATCTGACCATGTCACATTCTCCCAATCCTTCTCTGAATCGTTCAGGTGTTCATTGGCAATCTTCAGACGGGCCTGTACATGTGCCTTCTTGAGCAGGGGGACCTTGCAGGCACTGCAGGATCTCAATCCATTACGGCGAAATGTGTTACCAATCGTTTTCTTGGTGACTGTGGTCCCAGCTCCCTTGAGATCATTAACAAGCTCCTCCGGTGTAATTCTGGGCTGATCCCTCACCTTTCTCGGAATCATCCTTACCCCATGAGGGGAGATCTTGCATGGAGCTCCAGAGTGAGGGCGATTGACTGTTATCTTGTATTTCTTCCATTTTCGAATTATCGTGCCAACAGTGGTCTCTTTCTCATCAAACTTCTTGCTGATGCTCTTGTAGCCTATTCCAGCCTTGTGCAGGTCTACAATCTCGTCCCTGACATCCTTTGACAGCTCTTTGGTCTTGCCCATGGTGGTGGAGAGGTTTGAATGGAAGAGACTGATTCTGTGACATGTGTCTTTTATACACATAACGAGTTGAGATTAGGACTATCCTAAAGGGACAGGGCTAATTTGACTGCCTCATGGGCACATAATCGGTCTGTGGGGGTCAGAATTCTTGCTGGTCGGTAGGGGATCAAATACTTATTTCACTCGATCAAATACAAATTAATTTATAACCTTTATCTAATGTTTGTTTTCTGGAATTTTTGTTGATATTCTGTCTCTCTCTGTTACAATAAACCTACCATAAAAATTATGGACTGTTCATGTCTTTGTAAGGGGGTAAACTAACAAAATTAGCAGGGGATCAAATAATTCTTTCCTCCACTGTATGTATATAATTTTGTTTGTGTGTATGAATAGGACAGCCTGGGCAGTGTGTCACAGGCACTATGGGTAATGTCGTCCAAAGGGTCAACGTGGCTCTGGGGGAGCGTGGAGACAGACTGACTCGTGCTGAGGACAAGACTGTGGAGCTGATGCACAAAGCTCAGCAGTTTGCCGACACTGCCCACAAGGTGACATAAAAACACACAGCTGCACACAACACACACCACTTCTACAAGATAAATTATTAATAACATATTATCATGTTTATTATCTGAATGTGTATTTGTATTTTCCCATGCAGCTGGCCCTGAAGTATTCAAAGTAGATTCTGTTGGAGGATGAGGATGAAAAATCCTGTAACACGGACACTAACACGATCTGGTGGTCTGGGCCCAGCTGATGGGGGTGAGACGACTGGAGAAGAGTCTCAGTCTCAGACTTTCACTAAACTGCTTCTTTTAAACCCCAGTGATTTTAATCTTGACCTGTTGGAGACTCCTCTGCCCAGCCACCTGAGGATTCTCTATGCTGCATTCAGTCTGACTGCACCAGATGAAGCCTGTACTGTATGAGGAAAACTAGTTGAAGTTATTTAACATATGTTTTCTGTAATAAGTTCATTAGTTTGAAGTCACTGCAGACCTTCCTGTGATAGCCTTACTTAAATATTAGTGACAGGTGGTACTGCTCTGAGGGAATGGTTCTGCTAATGTATCTCTGCAGGATTTCATTAGATTTAATTTCACTAAATGTTTGATTTGACTCTGAAATTTACCACTTGTTGCCATTACTCGGTGTTCCTGATGTGTGTGTGTGTGTGTGTGCGTGTGTACGTGCAAGCGTGTGTGTCTGAACAGTGTACAGTACAGTGTCATGTTGTCAAATCTGTGTTGTCATCTTTGTTCATGTGAGCATCAATCTGTCACTTCATGTTCTGTCTGCTGCTGTGTTGTCTGGTCTGTGTGTGTCATCTCTGTTTGTGTTGGAGTCTGGTCTTTGAGCTGAGTGAAGGTGGGTCAGATAAGGTGGAGTGAAGCTCTGTCTCTAGCTCTGTCTTTGTTGAAACCCCTTCATGTATTGGACCATTAAACAGTGAGCGTGTATTTGTCCCTGGAAGATGAATCTGGTTTGGATTGAGGGGATTCATTCTGACCAAACGTCTCTTGTGTGTTTTGTTTATTGCTTTATCTGCAGTTTTCATGTGCATGATGTAAATGTCTCTGATGTATTAACCTGCTGACAATGCTCCTACTTCTCTCATTGACCCAATAAAAACAAGATGACCTGTGTGTTGAGCAGTGCTTTGGTTTCTACACTTGTCCAGGATATCAGCTGTTCAGCAATTGACCAGCAGATGGCACTCAAGCAGCAAAACACACACGTCAGCAGCTGCAGCTGAAGTGTAGCTGATGAAGTTTCACAAAGATTTGTTGATGAGAAACTGAAGACTTTCAGACCCATAGACCATTGTAATAGAAATATTTACTCTTCTCAGTCAATCAAAGCAGTGCATTTTTATTTACACTGTTTTAAAATGTGTCACAACATTAGAACCAGGTAAGAGAACACAATAGGGCAGAGAGCTGGGGCAGGAAGTGGTGGAACAAACTTCTGCTTTTAAACATCTGTGTATAATGGTGTATGTTTGACCATCACTATTTCACTGTCGTCAAAGCAGTGTTACTTTTTATTTCATCAACTTAAAAAATATAAAAACTGTGGCATGTGCATTTCTGAAATGTGTAATTTAATAGTTAATGAAGTTAACAAAGTCATATCATAAAACATGTTACAACAAACTCTTGATTTTGTAAAGTCAACATTTAAGTTTTAATATTCTTCTATGATTGGCTATTATCATCAATCTTACATCTGAGATGGCTCCAGATGAAGTCAGTGAACATTAGTACAACCTGGGCTGAGGTTCAACAGAGTCTGATAGAAGATACCAGAAAGTGAATAACGCTGTAAAACTGCTCACTATGTGTGATGTGTGATCAGCACATGTGTGATCAGCCTGATGACTGACGCTCTGGTGATCACAGATGTGTGATCAGCTCCCTGTACAGATGTGTGATCAGCCTGATGACTGATGCTCACTATACAGATGTGTAATCAGCCTGATGTGAGAGGAAAAGGAAACAGTGAGGATGAGGAGTGCTGCTGTGACTGTGGGGGAGGATTAAGGACACACATACATAAAACACTGGGAGCTGATGAAAGTGGGACAGGAAGGAGTGTGTGTGTGTTCATGCCCATCAGCTGCGCTTCAGGACACAATGAGTTTTAGTAGCATGTGACCTCTTTGAGCTATAAGCCACATTTCATGCTGTGAACCACATGCATGCATTAGGTGTAACAGCACATGATCCAGATAGCAGGACATGCCTGAATAGGACAGACAACAACAACAACAACAACAACAACAACAGAGACAAGAGACAAAGAAGAGGAAGGCTGCACACCTGTCTCCTCACAGACTTGTTTACCTTTTCATTTAAGACTTCTGCACAGGTTTACTCTTGTCCTCTTCTTGTTTTAGAGATGGTTATTTTATTCCAACTTGTTTTTGTACCTTTACCACTGAGGATCTGTTTATGCCAATATCCAAAATAAGCTGTGTGATGATGGTGTGTGGAAGCTCCACATTTTCTCAGCCTGTCTCCACATGATGCATTAATAAAGTTACGTTGCTAAAAATAAAAGATGCTCAGTGTTTTCGCTGATCAGTTGATAGGCTCCAGAGGATTGTAACAGTTTTTTTCAATTGCATAAACACTAAAATCAAAAGTATTACACAACTATCAAAACTTTACACTCAAGGAGCAAAACATCGGCCCAGATTTGCACCACTATAAGCACAATGTCAGCCTCACACTTTTTGCAAAACAATACACACAGTGATTTGTGAAACACTAAACACACTTTTATACATTAGACACAGAAGCAAAACACTGACTGTCAAATTACCACACCTATGAGCCAATTGGTTAAACACAGCCCTCAGGTGTGCAAACATATGATTGCTTAATTGTAGACACACCAATCAGGTTATGCACTATAAAAATGCAGCATGTGAGTTCACCTGTCTTCAAACAAAATGGAAGGAGTCAGAAGAAAAAGAGTGAAGGTGAGAGGGGGAATCCACGGCACAGGAGAAGGAGGAAGAGGAAGAAGCGGAGGCCATGCCAGAGGTAGAGGCTGAGGTTGAGGTAGAGGAAAAGAAAATAGGTAAAATAGTTAAAAAAAAAATCTGTCTATAGTTACAGTAATCAGCTGCTTATGGTATGCACCATATCAGCACTTTTGATACCCATTCCTGTGACATTTTACAGGAGGTTACATGTATTTCTTTCTACACTTTCACTTTCACTTTCAACACTGGCACGCATCCTGAAAAGACATCAGGTTCAAATGAAACAACTTTATCGAGTGCCTTTTGAGCGGAATTCAGAGAGGGTCAAACAGCTGTGGCATGAGTATGTGGAGGCATGTATTGTTCACTTTAGCACTGTGATGTTGCATACTACACATGTAACCTTTTTACATGTAAATTAACTGTATACTAACTCTATGCTGAACTACACAATCTTGTCTTTCACTGTATTTCAGAGAGTTTTACAGATGGATGCTGAGGAAATCCCACATGAATTCATATACATAGATGAGGCAGGATTTAACCTCACAAAAGCAAGAAGGAGAGGCAGAAATATCATTAGCCACAAGGATATAGTAAATGTCCCAGGGCAACGTGGGGATAACGTCACCCTTTGCGCTGCCATTACACAGAATAGGGTCCTCCTCCGTCATGCCAATATGGGCCCTTACAACACACCTCACATTCTCACATTTTTGGACTGATTGCACAACATCATAACAGCAGTAAACCAAATGCACCAGGTGCAATACATTGTCATCTGGGACAATGTGTCATTCCACCGCTCTGCTCTGGTCCAGAACTGGTTTCAACCCCAACTGAAACCCAATTGAAGAGTTTTTCTTGGCATGGTGGTGAAGGGTTTACAATCTCTGGCCCCAGGCTCAGGTACCCCTCATTCAGGCCATGGAGGAGGCCTGTGACCAAATCGACGCCGCAGCTGTGCAGGGATGGATTCGACATTCAAGACGGTTCTTCCCACGTTGTCTTGCTAATGAGGATATCGCCTGTGATGTTGATAAAATTCTCTGGCCAGATCCAGCTAGGCGAAGAGATAATGTCTAGTATTTTCTGTAACGTATTTTCAGTTTTTTTCCAGATTCTTTTTTTAAATTTTTTTTAATGTATTTCCAACCTGTACTGGATACAGTATTTTAGGTTTGTCTGATGTTTGCTTAGCTTACAGTGTTATGCACACTACTGTAGTAGCATGAAAACTTAGACATGTTTTGTTGTGATTCTCCATGTTGACATGTTGACTGATTTGGCTATATGGAGAGAAATAAATTATATTTTCATCAGTCTGCAGCATTGGTCTTGTGTTGTGTATGGTGAATTTATTGTATATTTGCACTTTCTTTCTGTACTTCACTTACAGTGCCCTAATCACTGAGAAGTATAATTGCTAATGTGGTACTTAATAATTTAAAAACTATTTGATTTTCTAAAAACAATTTAATCCATTTGATGGTTAAGATATATTTTGTATTTTTCATAGTTCATAGTTTCATTTGCATCTTGGTTATGCTGATAAAGTTATTAGTTCAGATAATAAAAGTGACAGATTGTTGACAGATTCCAGGTTGATTGTGTATCGATTTATTAGTAATGCCTTAAGGCTCCAGTAGGGGGAAGTCGCGCTTCTCTCCCTCACTTAATACACACGAGTGAAGACGAGAGCAGTGTAGTGGTTTCATCCCTCTTCCTTCGTTATTCTGCCTATTTTAAAGGCGCAACATTTGGAGGCACCGCTGGGATGTTTGGCTTTAGGACGGTCCCTAACCTGTAAGAGAAATCCTCTCGTCGTTCATCCCTTCAAACTACCCAGGCATCAGAAAGGAGCCCAGCAAAGCAACGGAGGTGGTTTTCTGACAAGCATTGGTGGTTTGTATCCTGAAGTGAGCGAAGAGACCACTAAGGAGCAACAAGAATCAATCGAGCCAGATAAACCCTCATTTCACTGCTTATGCTAAATCCTCTGATAAAAATGGAATCTGAATTAGAGAAGCTGCAGCTGGAAATTAAAGGTGCACTGTATAAACTGACTGTTGAGCAGCTGAATAAAGTATGTGATGCACTTCAGATCTCAGGAACAGGAAAGGAGCATATTACTTGTAAAACACGCAGTCAGTTAATCTCACACATCATAAAATACCTTGAACGAGAAGAACTGGCCGACCTAGAGGATGAAGGTATGTCTGACCTCCTTGCCGCTCAAGACGTCATAGACAAAGTACAAATGGCCAAAGAACAGAGTGCGTATGAAATCCTGAATCAAATTGAGGAACAGGTGAGCCTCCAGAAGGAGGTAGAGGCACTAAGACTATCATTACAAGAAAAGGAGAGTGCAATGCATGACCTGATGAACAATAGCATGAAACTCCCGCTGCGCTCAAGCACTCCAGTACAGAGCATGGCTCCAGCATCACCAAATGGCCCTCTGTGGCGCAAAGATTTTAAGATATTAGGCCAAATAGGGGAGCCCGGACAAAAAGATAGACTCACCTTTTCCAGCCTAGCTAGGCAGATTGAAAATGGGCTCGGCAAAGGCTACCCAGAGTTAGAGATCACTGATGCACTAATCCGCTCCATCACACCAGGTCTGCAGTTAAGAAGTTATCTTGAAGGAAAAGACAACCTAACATTGCCTGCCCTTCGGAGAATCCTCAGATCTCATTATCAGGAGAGAAGTGCCACCAAGTTATACAAACAACTCACCTCTGAGGTCCAGAGTATTAGAGAGTCACCTCAAAACTTCCTGATAAGGGCAATGGACCTGAGGCAGAAGATTCTGTTCGCATCTCAGGAAGTTGAATCAAGTCTCAAATATGACCCAGCATTAGTCCAGAGTCTTTTCATGCATACCATTCTGACTGGCTTGCAGAATGACAATGTTAAAAGTGACCTACAACCTTACCTCCTGCAGACAAACACATCAGACGAGCTACTGCTGGAAAAAGTGAACATTGCATGTGCCAATAAAAAGGAGAGGCAGGACAAAAAGAAACATTCAACCCCATCACGAGTAACTAATATAAACACTGTCCAGTCAAGTGAATCCCCAGTTGAAAAGAAAAACACCACTCAGCAAAAAACAGCCACTCTTCCTCCTGATCTCCTCTC